CGGTCAACAAAAACCGGCGACGGAACCGGTAAAACAACGGCGTCGGAACCGGCAAAAAAACGGCAAAACGGAACCGGTAAAAAAAAACGGCCCTGTCGTTTCCAGGGCCCGCTAGGTGCCAGAGCACCAGAACCACGAAGAACATGCACTGGTCTCCGTATTCTTGGCCCTTTGCCCGCGCGCTCGCGCGAACTGCCACGGGGCTCCGACGCGTCCGCACGCCCACCCAGGCGGCGTTTTCGGTGGGGAGGGGGGCAGGGGGGATCCTTTAACTCGGAAAGCTGGAACATATGCACTACCAGTAGCGGGCTTCTGCTCAATCCCAGGACGTCTTGAGGGTCGAGGACGACGCTGGGGTGGTGTGGTGTATATTTTGGGTTCCCCGATGTCCCGGGGAAACAACGACAAATGTTTACACCAGGGTCCCGTATACACCAGGATCCGCTCTCCAGTGCAAATTCCAAGGCAGGGCAGGAAGAAGCGTCGGTGTATAGAGCTCGATTCCCTGTTTAATCATTCCGGACAGCACGCAGTACTGCACTGGCCCAGTGCAATGACTCCTTGGGCGCTGGCGCGACGAGCCTCTCCCAGGATGGGGGCCACTTGGCTTTGCTGCTCCACCTCCCTCCTCCCTCCCGCAATCTCCATACCGAGCACGCCCAGAGCGAAGCCGTCGTCGAGCAAGAAGAGCCCTCAATCCCCTCTTGCCTCCGCCGCCGGGGGGGAGGAGGAGGTGGAGGAGGCTCAGGGGGAGGAGGAGGAGGAAATGGGAGGAGGGAGGAGGAGGAGGAGGAGGAGGAGGAGGAGGAGGAGGAGGAGCAAAGGGAGGAGGAGGAGGAGGAGGCGGAGGAGGAGGTGGAGAGGAGGAGAAGGAGGGGCAGGATCAGAAGGAGGAGGCGGAGGAGGAGGAGGAAGAGATGAGAGGAGGACGAAGAAGAGGAGGAGAGTGTGGAGCAGGTCAGAGGACGGGGAAGAGGAGGTGCAAGCAGGATGAAGAGGGAGGAGGAGGATGAGGAGGAGGAGGAGAAGGAGGAGGAGGAGGAGGAGTAGGAGGAGAAGGACAAAGAAGGGAATCCTCCTCTTCCTCGCTCGCTGGGTCAGGACTGCCGTCGCGTAGCCCACGCTCAGTCTTTCCACCGCCGCGACGGCTCGAGCGGACCGCCGCCAGCACCCTCCCAGACAAAGCCCAGAGCCCGAGCAGCACTGCACGCCCGCGCCTACCGCTGGCAGATTGGATTTCGCCGCCACGATCGTTCTTGGTCAGAGGAGGAAAAGGTATTCATACCGCTACCTTTCCCTCGCTGTTCCCTTTGAGGCTCCTGGCAGGCCCTCGTCGCCACCGCTGGATTCGATTCGAGATCCTCGTCAGAACGCACCTCAGGAGAGGTCCAGGGAGGAGTGTTAAGTGGGGCCTGTCCTTCTACAGGAGGAATATTCAAGAATAGTAAAAAATAGTCTGGGGAGGTTTTTTTACCTTTCTTGAATATGTTAGGTTATTTTTTACATATTTTTAATTGTCGTCCAGAATCCGCCTGTATGGGGGACAGGCCCGACTTAAGAGTAGTGGTATCGGTTCTTTTCGGGTTCCCCACTTGGGGCTCGTTTCAAGTCGGCCCTCGGGCCCTGGCTGCCCGTTGCGGACGCCTGTGACCCCCCGGCGCTCTCTCTCGGCGGCGAGCCCGGGGGGGGGCCTTCTCGGTAGGCCCGGAAGTCCCCCCGCCCGTCTGAGAATCGGGGGCGGAAAAGAGGGGGTGATGTTTAGGGGGTGGATATCCTGGCGTGGGCCATGATATCTACCCAGATTTCATGGCGCCTCTTCTTATTTCATTGCGTCCCTGGCCCCCCGCTGGGCCGCGCACATGCCGCCGGTCATGATTTGCACCCCCCCTCTTGGACACCCCCCTCGTGGTCGATCCCGAGAGAAGTTTTCTAAGCCTCCCCCGAAGGCACTGTGAAAACTTCCCTGGAGGCGGGGGTGCCTCTGAGAAGTCCCGCCGCCTTCTGAGGAGGCCTTCTGCTTCCAACTTCCCCCCCTCGCCTGCCGCCGACTCTCCCCACTCCGCCTCCCCCCCTGGAGGGGGAGCAGAGAGGGGCGCGTCGAGGGACGAGAGACAAAAGGCAGAGGCGGCAGTGGGCTGTTGGGCTCTGGCCTGGGTCAGGAGGGCACGGGGCATGCAGTCGCCGGGCCGGGTCTACGGCAGGGGTCTGAAGCACTTCATCCCAGGCGCTGGAGGCAATTGCTTCTTCGCCTGCCCCTCATCGCATCCCGAAGAAGAACAGCGGCATAAACATAAACTTGTGGCGCTCCGCGCAGATTTCTTAGATCCACGCTGGGGCCCCTCGGCGGCGCCTTGGGCGCCGCCCCTGGCGCGCTCCGCGCGCCAGGCAGGGGGTCCCAGCGCAGATCCAAGAAATCCGCGCGGAGCGCCGAAACTTTATGTTTCTGGTGTTTGTTCTTCTTATGTCATTGTCGTGCAGTGTGTCTCCTGTGCGTGCCCGCTGTACAAGTCCTTACTGTGCGGTTCTGTTGTCGTTGTTGTCGTTGTTGTTGTTGGTGTTACTATTGTTGTTGTTGTTGGTGCTGCTGTTGTTATTGCTGCTGCTGCTGTTGTTGTTGTTGTGGTTGTTGTTGTTGGTGTTGTTGTTGTTGTTGCTGTTGAACATTATTCCTTCTAAAGAATTATTATTGTTGGGACCCCTGGTGCGCGACCTCTGCGCCGCGCCTAGGCCGCAGCTACATTTTCATCATTTGTTCGCGAAAGCTTCAGAAAAGTGGATGAGCTCCGGATCCGGTTTTTTGTTGACGCTCGTTTTCCCTTGCAAAAAACAATAGAAAATGAAAATTCTTGTTTTTACTTGATCAAATTGCAAGAATCCCTTGCAAAAAATAAGGTAAAGTGGACATTCGTGCGCGCAAGACGAAATCCTTCCAAAACCTTAGGTTTCGTAACGATTTTAACATAAAAACATCAAAAACCCAATGGTTTTCTCAGAAAAAATTGTCAAAATGTCCTTCCGCGCGCTCTTGCGGATTCCTAGGAAACCCACCAGATTTTAAACATTTCTGTTAAAAGGGCCTTTGCGAGGAACCTTTTCAGGTGCTTCGACCTTCTGCAACAACGGTTGCGAGCCTACGAGGGCCACCATCCCTTGCAAAAAATGACACGAAGTGCACATGCGCGCGGCCGCCGCGCGCGCGTGCCGAAATCCTGCCAAACATAATGTGATTTCAATAATTTCAAGATGCGATGTTCCGAAAACATATGCAAACGCAAGACTTTCTCATCCGAAAAATATCAAAATCCACCCGCGGGCTCTTCATGAATCTTTAAAACCCAAGATGGCCCCAAGAGGCGCTCAAGATGGCCCCAAGAGGCGCCCATGAGGCCGCAAGAGGCGCCCAAGATGGTCCCAAGAGGCCCCAGGAGGACTCCAAGAGGCCCCCAAGAGGTTCCAAGGGTAGTATCCAGGGTCGTCCGCACGCCACGAAGTGAAGTGTCCCAACGTCATAGGGCGGGAAGCTGGGTGTGGGTGGTCTCGAAGAGTCGTTTGGATATTTGGTAGAGCTTGAACGGCCCCCCCACGAAGTGGGGGTATTGGCTGGTGTCGCAAGAAAACCCTGGCACTGGGGAGAACACTGAGCGTTCGGGTAAAATGATTGTTGTTGTTGTTGTTGTTGTTGTGTGCTTGTGCGTGTGCGTGAAAGTCTGCGCGCGCATCTCTGATTGATGGTTCTGACTCCCGTCCGCTCGTACAGTCAACCCGCATAGTAAGGATGGGCAACCTTCCCAAGGGAACCCCTGCATCCTTGCCTTCTCGGCCCATCCTTGGCCGCTTTCATTGGCCGCGGCCCGCTCGAAGAGCTTCGAAATGGGCGTTCAAGGCCCTTGCATCCTCATCGCGCATCCTTACTATGCGGGTTGACTGTACGTGTGTGTGTGTGTTGTTTCGCAGGGTTTGTATTTTGCGCTGGGGGGGGCACCAACTTCTGCCACTGCAAGGGGGGGCTCACGCGTCTGGCTACGCCACGTCTGCATTCGCCACTGTTTCCAGCATGCTGCTATGGGCCCGTCTTGCCACTACAGTCAAGACGCTGACATAAGGAACAGTTTGGGTTCGGAAGGGGCTCGATGTTCCTTAGGTTCCTCCAGTGCTGTTCCTCTTGCCCGCCCAGGGCACCGAGGCGCTTACAGGGCCAAGAAGGGGCTTCGTTCCTCATTCAGCGTTCCTTCTTTCAGTAGCCCGACTGTAGATGTCTATGACTCTTTACCGCGTCCTGCCACCTGGTACGGTCGGACCGAGGTATAGGATCGAGGTCGGTTCGGGGAGGGTGCCCTCGTGTTCTTCCTGCTTGTTTGATGTTCTTGCGCATCCTGGGGGGGAGGGTACCCTCGTATGTTTGTCAGTTTGGCCAGCGGAGGGCTTCATGTTCTTGAAGGATGTGTTTCTGTCCCAGGTCTGTACTCTGACTACTTCGTAACATTCTGTCCTAGCCAGCCTTCAGGCATACTTCAGGCGTCAGACGTCGCTGCGTGGCCTTCAGGCGAGGTCGAACACAAATGAGCAGCGAGTTCTCCTGAGATGCTGGGAAGCAGCACGTAGTCGAGCGTTGGCCTTCAGGATTTCAATTCCGTTCACCGTCAATTTCCTGATTGCTCAACTTGTTCGGTCATGTCCGTGGCTTGCCCGAACATGTAGCGTGCATCTTGGTTAGGCCGAGTGAGGGGGCTAATTCTCCAGCCCCAAGGACGCCGCTTTCAACATTTGAGCAGAGCTCTTCCAATCGCAGCCTGTTATTCTACATTTGAGCAAATCTGCTTCCCCAGAGAGCCACGACTGGAGACTGGGACCTGTAGCGGAGGTAGTCGCTGCCAGGCCCTTACCCGACGGGCCCCTCTGGCGCGCATGACAAGAGTGGGGATAGTGGGGGACACCGGCGAGGTGGATCATCATGAGGAGGAACTGGAGGAGCAGCGCTGGTGCCCCGCCATGAGTCTGAGGCAGCTCTGCGGTGCACCCCGAGCGCGCCCCACTCACGCCGTCGATGAGCTCCGGCGAGCGCGCAGGCGGCACGGCGCTGTTCGGTCCCGGCCTCGGACCAGCAACTAGCTGCTCAGCTGCAGGCGTGAGTTCGTGCATGTCCTCTCCGAAGGAGCGCGTCAGGTTTGGAGATCCCGCCCGCTCAGGGCAGAAGGAGTTGGGGCTTCTCGTTGCGGTCACGATCGTGCCTTCCCGATATATCCAGGTGCCGGCGGCAAGATGAATCATGCTCAAGCTTTCGCTCTCGCGCGGAATAACGCCATGCGTTGCGGACCATGAACTATGTGGCAAGTTCCACCACCGTGCCAGCGCAGCGCTCAATTCGACCTTCCGAGAAAAACCTGGAAGGAATATGTGATACGTTCCGTCCCTTGAAGTACTTAGACTGCAGAGTACCCTAACCTACGACACACTCGTCCGCAAGCTCGCGAAGGCGAAGTAAGAAGGGCCGTTGCATGTGGTATCGGTCCAGATGTGTTCAGGTAGCCTGCTGCAGGTATCCTCGGGAGCTTGTGTTGGGCCTCTTGGAAATTGCTCAAGGTCGTTGGGCCGTCTTCGAGAATCCTGTGGCGGGGGAGGGGTTCTTGTGGCAGCTTGGCCCGGATCCTGGGGGCGTCTAGCGGGCGTCGTAGGGCCGCCTCGGTCCGACCCCAGGCCGGATTGTAGCCATTTTGGGGCAGTGTTGGGCCGGCTCTGGCGGGCTCTTGCGACGTCTTGGTGCCGCGAGGGGGCCTCGACGGGGCCGCTTGGAGATCTCGCGAAGGCCGTGACAGCGCCCTGCTGCCTCAGAAGGCGAGCGCCATGCAGTTGCAGTGCTGTTGTTGGCCTCTCAGGGGCCCTGCCTCGGCCTGCGAGGGAGGGCGGGCCGCCCTGGGCGGGGCATGGCGTTCTGGCAGGGCCCCTGGGCCGCCCCGGGACGCCAGGAGGGAAGCGAGGGGGGCACACGCTGTCAAGCAGTGGCGAAGCGTCCCGGCTCGCCTATAGCCCCACCAAACAATGTTCTAAGAACCTTTTGTGGTTCCCATGAAATGTTCTCAGAACATTGCTTTTGTTTTTAGAACATTTTGGGTTCTAAGAACATTCCGTGGTATGACTATAGGAATGCCGGGACGGTCGGTCCCTGATCAACGGTGAGGATGGAGGTGTGGTGAGGAGCACAGGACCACAGCACCATCCCGCCACGTGCCAGGAGGCACGGCGGCGGCTTCCTCTCGCCCTCATCCACTGCTTCCTCTGCATCCTGTGTAGGGGGCACGTGTGCGGCCATTGTTTCTGCTGGTGCACCCTTTCCGAACAGATGGGCCTCAACCGTTGGAGCCGCGCCCGAGAAAAGCAGCCACTGGGCAAACCGAGCATTCGTCTCCAGCCTTTTGGTTGATCTCCCTGGCCCTTTTCCCGCGCCACAGCGGTGCCATGTGTTGTTTTTTGTTCGGCGTTCGACCCGAGGCCCCACACCCGCAGTGGCGCCTGGGAGGCCTCATACTTATCTGCCAGACAGGTGCGCAGGGTCTGCTAAGAGACGCTAAGAAGCCACGCTCGCAGTAGTCACGACGTCGTAGCTATGTCATGGGAGCGTCTCAGCTCATTGAGGTCCTGACCTCCCGTCACCAAGCTGCATTTCTGCATCGCACACTGCAGCAGATGTTGAACATCCAGGGGCCAGTGCCCAGGCGCTGTTTCTAATCGCGTCACGGGTGAGTTTTCCAGACTGCTCGTGGGGTCTCGGCGTCTGCAGGCATCCCACCTCTCGGATCCGACTCTGCGCCCTCCTGATTGGATCTTGATTGTTCTCAGGAAGTGTAAGGGGGTGTTTGGTGGGTACTTCAGTTTCCCAAGGAGCGTGCAGTTTCTTCTGGTGATCGGGGTTCCACGGTATTTGATGCGTCTCGGCCAGAGCGAGCCCGATCGTAGAAGCGAGTTTCCGTGTCGCAATACCAGCTCTTGCGATCTGCGCACATCCGAGGCCGATGCTCTTCGAGCACACCGAGTTCTATGCTGAGTGGCGTCGGCATCACTGGGTTGCCCTTGGCGGAGAGGTCGCAGGGCTCAAGTTCCGAGCAGCCGCGCCAGCAGGGCGCGTTGGCTCGGTGCAAGACCGCTACCAGCAAGATCGCGGACATCTCCATGAGCATTACGGGCAAGGACTCGAGGGACCGAACGGGCGGGCAGATGGGCGGGTGGGCGGTCTCGAGCGGGAGGGCAGCGAGCGGACCCAAACGGGCGGGCGGGAGAGAAGAGCGTGCGAAGCAGTATGTTGACGAAGCGTCACGCCAGCGAAGGTGCACGTTGCCGGAGCTGGCTTGGAGGAGCGGACCATGCGAAGCGGTCCGGTCGAAATCGGCCAACGCGAATTGACGCAGCGGACCGCGGGCGAAGCTTACAAGGCAAAGCGGACCGTGGTCTGAGTGGACCGGGGGGTGAATCATACCGCGATGACAGGCGGACCTATCATCTAGATTTCATTCGTGAAGTTCCAGTCTTGCGTTCAGTCCGACACGCGCACACGCACGCGGTTCTGCACGTACAGATAAGTTCGCACGGTCATGGGATTACGCGCGAATGGAGTTCCACTCGCATAGGTTTCCAAACACATGATTTCCCATGAAGGTCCGCGAATATGTTGTTGGGGTCCACTCGCGCGCAACATTTCGTTGGCAATCCCTACACTCAGATCAGATCACAGGGGTACCCTGCCCACTCGGCACCGAGCAATACTGCACGCGCTACTTTTGTCAACATCCTCCATACTTCTTGTTTTCCGATGCCTTCAGGATGGCAGTTTCGACTGGGCCGCAAAGCAGAAGGATGACATTCAGCCTGCAGTTTCTGGCGAGGAGGCGCAGGGGAAACTGCACTCCAACTTTCTTGTGATCGAGAAGATGGTTGCCGCGTGGGAGGCCAGGGCCAATGTAAAGTTTGATCTCTCGACGACGCATGCATTGTGGTAGAATTCGAGATGGGCCATGGGTGTCATTTCTGTCCCCAGGCATGGTTCGGCCAATTGTGTTTTCTTTTTGATTGCGAGGGGAGGTTGCAGGTATTTGGCGCTTGCTATGGGGGAGGCCAGACGTACCCGTATTGACCCCCACCAGTGCAGATCCGGTCGATGAAAGGTCTCGAGAAGTCCAATTATCTTCCCGCCCTCGTTTTCGAGACGAATTGTGTTGACGGTTCCAGCGTTAATGGAGGGCACAAAGGTAAGCCAGCTGAGATGCGGTGAGGGAGATTAGATAGCGCAGATGTGTGGGGTGAGCGGGGGGAACGGTGGGGAACCGTCTGCGTGCTACCGGTCACCTTCTGGCCAATGCCCTGCGATGATTTAGCCTGCAGGCGTCAATGACCCTTGCCGCATACAGAGCTCTGCGCCATGATAGGGCGTCAATCCAGGGAGGCCGAATCATGTCTGGTATTAAGCATGGTGTTTTCCCAACCCCTCCATTGCTTTGATAATCGTTTTGAGTGGAACGCTGTCGGTTGTTCCTGCCTCCTCCTCGCCTCCCGCCTCCACGCGCTTATCCCCCCTCCATCGCTGCCTAGGTGCTGCCAGCCGCGCAACGGTCGCCCCTTTATTGGGCTCCTGGGGGGGCCAGCGAGGTTTACGTCTAAGTCATTTGGGATACCAGATGGACTTCGTCATCCCTGGGTGGTGCCACTGCGCAATTGTCGTTTTCGTGATCTTCTGGAGGGCCCATGGGCGTGCGGTCTTGCGGGGGTTCAATCCAGTCTTGGTTCTCCCTAGGAGGTTCCAACTGTGCAATTGCCGCCGCAGTCTTGAATTTCTTCGTGGTGGAGGGGGGGCATCGGAAGGAGTATTAGGGGAGCCCAGACGGGACCTCTCCTTCCCTCTGTGCTGCCAACTGCGCAAGTGCCTGCATTTCCTTGGGCGCCAGCGATGTGCAGTCCGGAGGAGATCCGAACAGACCTTGCCATCCCTGGGAATGCCAACCGCATAAGGGTTGCCGTTCTCGTGAATTCTTGGGGATCCGCTGGGTTGCCGAAGGGTTACCGCCGCGTAAGGGTTGCCGTTCTCGTGAGGGTTGTTCTTGTCCGATGGGCATCCAAATGGCGTGATATGGTATCGTTGATATCTTCACGAGTGGTGAACATATACGTATACGCGCCATCGCGGTCGGGACTCTGGGGCGCAATCCAGCGGATACGCGGTCGCACAGATCTGTTCCGCGCTGAGCATCCGCGAAACAAGCGCTCCGTATCCGCGGGATCGCAGCCCAGGAGCTCAGCCCGCGAGGCCGCGGTTACGGATACGTTTTTCGGTCAGGATCCATATTTTTGGAGCATAGATGAGTGGTCAAAGCGCTTGGGCCAACACATTTACAGGCAAAGGAATGTGGGGCTGGCAGCAGCATGCATGAAGCTCTGGAGCACAGATGTCAACGGACTTACACACACACTCCTCCAACGTACGCTGTACAGTCGTAAGTCCAAGAGCGCTGCTCCTTGGACACGGGACGGAAGGCCACAGCACACATCGCCGATACGTCATATTTCGTATCTGCTTCAGTCACCATCTGGGAAACGTTGCAGTGACTTTGTTCGAGTCTACATGGGAATGTCGTGCTTGATCGCGCTAAACTCAGGAGATACTATAATCTGGATAGAGGAATGCTTTTCCCTGGCCGCCGCAGCGCCAAAAACAGTACTGTGAGCCCTGGCGGGGCTCGCGCATACATGCTCGAATGGACTCAAATATGGATGGGTGCCTGCATGACCCTTCTCACAAACAGAAGCCTGGGTGGCGCCTCGCACACGGAAGGAGGCCTGGATAATCTCAAAAGAGTAAGTTGCCCTCTGACCTCGGCTTCAGTTTTGTCAGTAGTATGCAGCGTTTTTTTTTTCCGGGAAGCCGTGAACAGGGCGGCAAGGTGATAAACAGAATTGCCTCGCGGTGCGTCCAGTAGTTAACCCGTGGGTCCCCGAGGCCTCCTCGTGGGGCACTCATCGTCTTCCCCTCGGAGGCCTTCTTCCTGTGGTAAACGTTGAGATTGGTGGCGTGGCTGAGTTTTTCTTGCTAGATGCGTTCGACCCGGGCAGCTCAATCTCCTCGGTCGGGTTGGCTCCAGCTCGTCTGGCCTGTTCGAGTTTCCCTGGCGAGAGCGGTGTCGTCCTCGATCTCCTCTGCGGCTTTTCGTCGGTCGACGGCCACTGGGGCCCTTCTTTCCCGCGATCTCGATTTTTGACCAGCCTGGAACATATCCCTATCCCTATGCTGGGCACCTCCTCATCACGATGCCAATCTTAGGGATTCTCTTATTTCTTGAGGGCGAATCCCTAAGATTGTCATCGCCTTTTGGCGTGTCAATCTTAGGGATAGGGATACGTTCGAGGCTGGTCAATTTTGTTGCCCGCTGGCCAGGTGGGTCTGAGGTCCGAAAGCAGGCCGCGAGCGGGAGGCGGTCTCAGCGCCCGCGCACCTCCTGCCAGAAGGGGCGGGGGTAAAACGGTATAGCGAGGGAGAAGAAAGCAGGGGGCAGGGCCTTAGTGGGCCCTGGAAATGACAGGGCCGTTTTTTTACCGGTTCCGTTCTACAGTCTTTGTTGCCGGTTCCGACGCCGTTGTTTTACTTGTTCCGCCGCTGTTTTTTGACCGGTTCAGGCTCCGGTGCCAATCCTGGAGCCGTTTTTTTGCCGTTTCCGGTCGCCGTTTCTTACCGTTTCCATTTTCAAGAGCATTTTTCTGGAAACGGTGATAAAACGGCCTTGCCGTTTCCGGGGCCCACAAAAGGGCAGGGCGCCTCTCCAGTCGCGACCTGGTCAGCCCTTCGCGGATCTATCCAGCGCGATGCCGCTCGCGCGCAGACGGGGTCGAGCACTCCAGATCCGATCCTTTTCTTGCCACATGCGCAGCGTCCAGCACCGCCGATCGACCCAGCGCGATGACTCCCGCTCGAGCACGCGGTCGATGGCTCCAGTCAGGAGTCGGAGCGGCGCCCGCTGGACGGGGGCGCCGCACCGTGCCAGGCTCATCCCACCTTTTCCGCCGCCGCCTACTCCTCCTCCTCCTCCTCATCCTCCTCCTCCTCGTCCTCCTCCTCCTCCTCTATCCAGTGCCCGTGATGATGCTTGCGGATTTTACAGGGAAGGTGTTATTCGGGGCGCCGCACCGTGCCAGGCTCATCCCACCTTTCCTTTCCGCCGCCTCCTCCTCGTCCTCCTCCTCTATCCGGTGCCCGTGATGGTGCTTGCGAATTTTCCAGGGAAGGTGCGGCTTCAAAGAAAACGGGGGACGTCCAGCTGGGCCATCGTGGCACCCTGTGAGGGGCATGGATCCCACAGCCCTTCACGGGCACACCCCCAGAACACTTTCGCGGCCGCGGCCTTCGGGGGGGGGGGGGGGGGGCGAAAATTGAGGGACACAGGAGGGGAAGCTAGTGGGTACACGGCCAGAAATGGGTGGGCCCAACGCAGACAATAAAGGGGGGCATGGCCAGAAATGAGTTGGTGCGTTCTGGGTTCATGACGATGGCGATGACGGCGACGGCGATGATGACCTTGTTAGGGGTTCGACGGCACGAGCGCCTCCACCTTGCGCGCTCGCCACCAAGCGAAACTCGCGCTGACCTGGGCTAGCAGCCACTCCACCCAGGCTGCCTCCTTGAAGCTCTTCACGCCCGCATCCGCGAACGCGCATGGGGTCGTCCTCAGGGTCCTCGGACATCAGGAAGATGCGATGCTAGCCTTCGCGACGACGGCGCGTCTCAAAGTCGGCCCCCCGCGCCTCCTCGGTGCCGAAGTGTGCAGCACCGCTCGGCCGCACGGCCTGCAGACACCGGCGGGGGCGCCGGGGCGGCGTGCGGCTCTCTTGGCGCCGGCTGCATTTTGCTCCTCCTCTTCATCAGGAGCGAAAGGAGGACGTACACGTGCATGAATCCACGCTGGTTTCGAGAGTACGCGTTGCCCGGAAGTTCGTATCACGCGGCCGGTCTCGCAGATCGAGGGGCCGTGTTCGTGTACACAGCTGGGCGCGTACGTCCTTTGTGGGCTCCCTATCTTCTGCCCAGCTGCCGCCCCGCGCCGCGCTGCACGAGCGGCCCGCGCCGGCCGCGCCGGCCGCTGGGGCGCCGCCGCGCAGCCATCCCCCCCCCGGGCGAGGCGCCGAGCGGGGGGTCCGAAGGAGGCTGCGCCTCGGGAGTGCCGCTCGCGGAGTTCGGGTGTTGCCAGAAGTGCCCCTGGCCCAGGGTGCTCCTAGCTTTTCGCTCAAGTTTGAAGCCCCTGGGGCCCTCTGGGCCTCGTGAGGGATGCTCTGGAGGCCGCCTGGGCCACCCCGAGAATCCTGGGGGTACCTTGGGCCAGGGGCACTGCTAGCAACACCCGAAGAGTCCGCGGCGCAGTGGCGCGGGCGGCTACCGCGAGGCCCCTCGAACGGGCCCACGAAGCGAGTGCAGAAGAGCAGTTGGTTCTCGGAGGTTCTGGTGGGCACTGCAGGGCCTCTGTGGCGCGGCACCAGCGACAATCGGGACGCCGTGCTCCCTCGGTCGCCACTTCGGGAGCTCTTGGGAGGGCCAGCGTATAGCCGTCCTACGATAGGGTTCGTGGGAGTTCAAGTGGAGCGCAGTGTTCCGCAATGGCAGCCAGGAGTTCCGCCTCTGCGGTTGCTGACAACCGCCCAACTGTCGCCACCCCACCATCGGGTCGTGGGGGTTCAGCGGGGCCCCTGTAGGACCCAGCGGGATTCAGCATTACGCAAACCAAAACGGGACCTCGCCTGCGGAGGTCCAGCAGATCGCGGCCTTATCCAGGCCCGAGCACGGCCTGCACTCCTGAGCACGGAAGTCACCGACGCGTTTGCCAGTCTTCGGGTACATGTCGCCCGTCGTCATCAGATTTGCGGGTTCCTCTTTCCACGATTCCCCGTCTCGTTTCTTTTCTTCGATGTTGTTGTCCCCCCTTCTTCTTCATCTAGCCGCCATCCCGTTCCTCTTCTTTTCGCGCTCTGACCCGCAAGAGTGCCAAGGCTCCTTCAGCTCCACTTGGGGGTGGCGTCAACGGGGGGGCGAAAGTTGAACGCGCTTGCTGGTGCGAGGTCGTCTTTTTGTTTCTCGGAAGGCGGCCTGCGCATGTGAAAGTTTCCCCCATAAGTTTCGCCCATGCGGCAGTTTGAAAACGCCTCGATGTCGCTCTGGGTTGGCTTTGCGTGTGACTGAAGCGGTTGGGGCCTGGCTTTTCTACGTCTGGACACGCCATTCCGCGTCCGTCTTCGCCTCACCAACTTCCGCAGTGCGGTTCCTCTTGCTTGCAGGCCCCGCGACGCTCTGGTCTTGCAGGCGAGTCGGTCTTTGGGCGATTCCCCAGAAAGTTCCGATTCGGCTGCTGGCAGCGTCTCAATGGTTTGATGTCACCAAGCGTCTGTGCCGCAATGTGTTACAATGGTGCGCTGTTGCGCCAGGATGTTGCTCCGAACTACCCACTCTACGGCTCCGTTGTGCCAACTTGGTTCTGCGTGGCGCCCCTCCCGATGGGAGATTCCTTTGTTGTTACGCATCGTTGCGCAATTAAGTACGTTTGGTTGTGTTTTGAGCGGCCTCTTGCTGTCTTAGCAGCGGTTTGGTTGCCCCCCCCCGCTTCCGCCACCCCCAAGTGGAGCTGCATGAAAGGCGAGCGTGGAACATCGGTTGCGCTTCACATCCATTGGCATCACTCGCGCACGTGCTGGATATTCCTCCTCATGCTCTGTCGTAGTGGACGGTCCCATGAATCATCGCCGCGTCTGTATATGCGGTTGAGTGCGTCCATGGTGAACTGACATTGCTTTGTTGAAGCCGGCTTTGGCGAATCTGCTCTTCAGCAGACTCATTCAGTCTCCTGCTTCGTGTGGCCGGTGAGGCATCGTCGTCGTCTCCAGCAGCATGGGTTCGCCCTTTTACCCCCCCTCTGTGCGTGTAGCCCTCGGGAGCGTCTGCAGCGAGTGCGCGCGGAGTCGAGGCCGGAACCGCAGTCTGACAACGGCAGGCCGTCCGCCGCTGCAGTGGTTGGTTTGCGGCTGGGCTTCCGCGTGGCAGTTGCACAAAAAGAAGGCTCAAAAGCGAAACGCCCTTCCTGGCCTTCGGACGTGGCTGGTGGTAGGACAGGGAGGGAGAGGGCGAGGCGGAGCAGGAGGAGGAAGAGGAGGAGGAAGGAGGGAGGAAGGGAGGAGGAGGAGGAGGGGAATGAGAGCGGCAGAACGGGGGGTGGGGTAGTGCAAACATGGATTCGGGCGCAAGCGACGGGTCCCGCTCCCGTGCGACGTCGACGCGATCCGTCGCCGAACCAGGTGGCACTGGCCTCATATGTCGGGGATGCCTTCCCCCATCCATGGATCTGGCGCCAACGCGCCAGATCCACGGATCCTTGATCCGTGTGAGCGCGCGCCCGTGAGAGGGGGGATGGAGCGGGGTTGCCAAGAGCGCTCAGTTCCTGGGGGCCCAGCTCGAGCGGTGCCCTGCTAGGGGGCCAGATGCGAACCCTACCCCTACCCCCCACGATTTCTGAGGGGGAGGGTGGGGTTCACTTTGCTCGGGAGCTCCCGAACGAAGTGCACCCCACCCTCCCCTTCAGAAATCGTGGGGGGGAGGGGTAGGGTTCGCATCTGGCCCCCTACCTGCGGGCCGGCCCCGCTCGAGCGCCCGCCCCGAGAGGTCCAGGAGCGCGCGGCCGAGTCCAAGGACGCGGCGGCACCCCCCCTTTGCGGGAAGAGCGGGGTCGCGCCTCCGGGGGGCTGGGCGTTCGGGGGGCCATGGCCGCGGGGCTCCGTATGGGCGTCGCGAGGCCCGCACCAAGGCCCGCACAGGAGAGGGGGCGACTAAAACGACGCGAAGATCGGGACAGAATCGGATCGGGATACCTCGAAATCTCTGAGAATCGGCGGGTTTGGAGGATGTATTGGGCGCCGCGGCCGCTCCAGAGCGTTCCGGAACGCTCTGAGAGCGCTCCGGAACGTTCTGGAGCGATTTATCCCGATCCTAGCCCTGTTTTAGCGACCTGGGGTGCCCAGTCCAGAGGTGTGACTCCCGCACCGCGTTTCGGCGGAGTCTATTGCGTGTGTCTGCGTAGCAGCCTCGCCTTCCAATCACGTGGCCCCTGCCATCGGTCCGTTGAGCGCGCCCGTCCGAAAGACAAAGGCCCTGTGAGCGTGATAAGGATCTGCCGTGGTATTACCAACAATTCGTTCCAGATGTTGTAGGTGTTCCTCTGCTTTTGTATTCCTGTGTGAATCCATTTTGGCCTGGTAGGCACCATGGGCCATGGCTGAGCGGAGCATAATGGGGCGACGTCTCACTTCTTTCGGAGGTATGGCTCCCTGTTGTTTTCAGAAGTGGCCGATAGCTCCACAGCGCTCGATAAAGTCACGCTGAAGACACGCAGGGGCAGTCAGTACTGTTTCCCCTTTTCTGGATTCCTGCCAGGATGACTTGGTTTCCTTGCGCAGCTCGAGCGTATCCAGCTTGCTGGTGCCACCTAGCAGACACCTTTCCGCCACGTATGCCTAGGATCACCATTGTTCCACGGTTTACGTTTTAGTCAAAACTCGCAGGATTGTTGTTCAGATATTACGTCTGCACGTGTACCAAGACTCTATTTGCATGTACACGACGCTGCGAGTTCATACACGTTTGATCGGATGGCGATGTTTCTGCGAGCCAAGATTGTTATGTTGCTTCTCATATCCCTTCTCAATGTTGCTTGTCCACCTCCACATCTTTTAGAGGGGGAGGCGGCAACGAGGAGTGAAACGAGGACAACGAGTAGATGCAGGGAGGAAGGTGGAGGAGGGAACGGATCAACGATATGAAGAAGGGTGGAGAATATGGGGGAAGGTGGGGAGGACTTCGAGAGTCATGATCGCGGTGGGCGGCCACAGTCTCCTCCGACCACGGCTCTGGCAGAGAACACAAGCTTTTTGCGCTATTCTGTGTTTTCCCTCCTTTCTTTCGTCGGCGAGCCAGGGGGGGACGTGAGAAGGAGAAGGCCTTCTCAGAAGGTTCGGAAGTCCCCTGGCCTTCTGAGAAGTTTGTGTTCCAGGGGAGGTTTAGAGAACTTCCCAGAAGGCCAGGGGACTTCCGAACCTTCTGACGAGGCCTTCTCCTTCTCACTTCCCCCTCGCTCACAGTCGATACTTCCCTATCGCTGGCCTGCTCCTGTCCTCTTCCTCTTCCTTTTCCCACCTCCTTGTGATGCCCTTCCTCCGATCTTCCTGGGAGATGTTGGGCGAATGGGGGTGAGTATGGGTTAAAGTTGCTGTCGGATTGTTAGAACACCGCGTATGGGAAGGATGCGAAATGGTTCAACAGGGGCGGCATTGAGTGTGATACATTCCATGCAATATTGTGGAAGTGTGCCGCTCTCAAAGTCATGGCTTTGCCGCCTGATTTTCAAGTGCTCGCATCGCTTTGCATGCACATGCTTTCGTAACTGCCTGTCGACGTCAGGGCTACGCTCAAGGCTCGTCCGAGTCAAGGGGGGGTTGCCATTCATCCGGCCCAGCAGGCAGATACTCGGCCGGGCGATGTCTCGACGGTTTGGTTTGCTCGCTGAGGCCGTGGGTTTCCTGCGATGCGGCTCGGCATGGGCTCCGCGGTATGTGAGGCGGTGATTTGGCGCATTTCGGCTTTCTCTGGTCCTGCCATTCCTGCTTCAACGGCTAGCGAGGAGGTCACCACCCACCAAACCACCCCAACCCAACCCGAAGGCCTCAATTCGCCCTCCATTTCCAGTGTGGGGGGGTCCGGGAACGTTCAAAAAACACATATGGAGCCCATACCCCCCCCACCCGAAATTTGGGTCTTCGGGTTGGGTTGGTGTGGTCTGGTAGGTAGTCAGGAGGGGAAGTGAGCAGGAGAAGTTCCTCCCAGAAGGCGGCGGGGCCTCTCAGGGGCCCCCCAGTCTTCCGAGAAGCGCTCTGCGCCTTCGGGGAAGGCTTGGGAAACTTTCAGGAGGAGGGAGAAAAGGAGGAGGAGGAGGAGGAGGAGGAGGAGGAGGAGGAGGAGGAGGAGGAGGGAGGAGGAGGAGGAGGAGGAGGAGGAGGAGGAGGGAGGAGAAGGAGGAAGAGGATGACGATCGCACAGATAGGGGGGGGGGCCGTCCAGGGCCAGTGGATCCGCTGCCCCTCGGGGAGGCTTTCGCGATTGCGACGCGGCAAGAGGTGGGCGGATGGCACAGCACCTCGATGAGACGAGCAAAACGGGATGACGGACGCGGCAGCAGGTGCAGCGGCGCTGGCCAAACCATTGGACCAGGGAGCACCACGGGTTGGCACAACAATCTGATCAAGCTCTGCACTAGCGGGGAGGTGTCCCGCTAGGGAGTGCATGCAACATGCACAAGCGATGCCAAGGGTGCTGGAGCGGAGCCGTCCGCACTGGAAAATTTACAGGCTGGGCATAAGGGCCACCCTGAAACCGCGCCGAGGCGACGAACAACAACATTCGGACCCAACCAGAACCTACAAAATTTCCAGGAACGCCTCGAACAGCGGGGCACCAGGAGCGCTTTAAATTGGTGCCACTGTCGGCACGAAGCATTAGCAGACACCACTAGTTGATGATGGATGCTATTTTGGTGTCGCAGCCTTCAGCGCTGCGAGTTCTTGAACCCGACGCCGCAGACCATGTTGCCAGACTTCTTCAGCAGATTGCCCATCCAGCCAAGCGAGGGCTTCACAGGCGTGGTGTTAACGAAGAAGTCCTTGTTCCATCCGGCCTTGACCAGCATGCTCTTCGTCTCGTTCGCGATTTCGGTGTATGTGATGACCATACCGGAGGTAGTGCCCGCGTCCTTGTGGGCTGCCTCTGCGCATCGTTGTAGTGCGCTGGGGCGGTGACCACGGCGTGGTTGATCTCCTTGTCGACGGTCTTGAACGGCATCAGCTTTACGTCCGTCTGCGCCGTGGGGACCTTGAAGCGCCAGTCGATGAGGCGCGTCACGTCGAACAGCGTCTGCGACGGGTTGATGATCGCCTGGTTCTTGGCGGGCTCACCGATCAGGTGCTCCTGCTTGGTGAAGGCGACGTGAGAGGGCGTGATGCGGTTGCTTTGGTCGATGGGGGTGAACTCGACATGGCCGTTCTTAAAGATGTCCACGCGCGAGTATGTGGTCCCCAGATCGATTCCGTTGACAAGGCCATCAGACTTCTCTTCGACCATCGCGGATTTGGCATGCATGGGGCTGGAAGGCAACACTCGAGGGAGGAACGAAAGCAGAAATGTTCGAGCCCCGAGCTCCCGGACCTGACCAGGAGTGAAATGCTGCGGTGTCCTCGGCCCCCAGAGGCCGAGGACTTGAGCCAGGAGGAAGAGGATGAGGAGGAGGAGGAGAAGGAGGAGGAGGAGGAAAAGGAGGAGGCTGGGGGACTTCCGAGCCTTCCGAGGAAGCCCGCCCCGTCTCACCTTCTCCCCAGGGCTAGCCGCCGAACATGTGGAGCAGCCTCATCACATCGACCTCCTCCTCCTCCTCCTCCTCCTCCTCCTCCTCCTCCTCCTCCCCCTCCCCCTCCCCCTCCTCCCCTTCCTCCTCCTCCTCCTCCTCCTCCTTTCTGTGGCGTCTTCGTGTCGGACCCCCGTGGCTGTGCTGCTGTCGGTGCCAGCAACACATCGATGTTCCCCGAGATCCGACGGTGCCAAAACAGATGCAACATCGCAAGAAATCACGCCCAGAGCCCCGGACCGCATCGGTCTGCGTCATTGTTCGAGGCGGATCGATCTGTGAGGGTCCCGGGGCCCGAAATTGAGCGAAACTCCCCGTTCTGAACGAAATGCAACGCCAGGATCTCAGGGTTCACCGCGCGAGGCCAGCAACGATCCATTCGATGATCAGGATGTTCGTTCTCGCGCTCCGTGGGGCTCCAAGGGCGCCCTCGAGGGCGCGAAGTTATTCGCGCTTCTCGCTTCGCGTTTCGGCTCGGATTCCTCATCCTCCCCTTCTCCCTTGGGAGGCGGCGCGAGAGCGCGAAGTTAGTCGCACTTCGCGCTTCGCGCAGCGCGAAGCGCGAAGCGCGAAGTTGGGAGCCCTGGGATCCATTCGATGATCAGGATGTTCGTCCTCGCGCCCCGTGGGGCTCGGTTCTGTCGGGACGTCCTCGTGCCCCTTTGCCGGGCTCGGCTGCTGGCCCCCCCGCGTGCAGGACCCGGGGACGCTGCTGCAGACCACGTTCGCGTTCAGCTACAAGAACCGCGAGTACGAGGCGAGGATTTATGATGCTCATGCCAAGAAACACCCTGTTTGCCTCCAGGGTGCCCTGCGCCTCTTGGGTGTCGAGGGCTTTGCTATGGTCATCGTGACGTTCCCACACCAAAAATTCATGGACGTCTTCGGGTCTCAGGGTCGGGCTTCTTGTGGAAGCGTTCTTTTGGACGGGCCTCCACTGTAGATGCTCCAACCGACTTTAGCCTTGATCACCAGGAAGAATTTCGAGCGGCCAAAAAAGTACCGAAGCTCCTCAAGGGTTTTCACGTGTCGGGCCTTGGGAGACACTCGCCCGACACTGTCTCGACACTGTTTCGACACTCTTTTGACATTTTTCTGGGTGGATGGGAACAACATAAGGCGAGGATCGGTACGCACGGAATGTGCCTGTCGTTCTCGCGCGGGTAAGGTGATGCCTCCTCTTGGGTTGTTTGCGGGCTTATTGTTGCATTTGCCTTCCAGCACTGGTCGGCACGGTGTGCGGCAGTGATCTCGAGGATGGACTCGTGGGGCTAACCAGGGCATTACAGGAGTATGACTGCCACATTCGAGTCATAGACAGACCGGGTTTGAGCAAATACTTACAAGTCGGAGCACAGTGTATGCAAATTATTTCGACGGTGAGACCTGATGTGTCAACCTCCATTCGCTTTGTTTGTGTCTAACGTCTTGCCGACCTCTTTGTTGTGGCTCGGACCGTCGTCTTGTCGCCAGCTGGGTCAAAATCATCGCTACTGCACACAGCGTGCACCACATGTAATTCGTCACGCAAGTGGCTTGCACCACACAGCCTGCAGCACATACTTGCACTACATCGCTTGCACCACATGAGTTACACCACCTGGCTTCAGCCACATAGCTTCTACAGTCTGCGTCACATATATCGCACCACCTGGCTTCCACCACATAGCGTGCTCCACATTGCTTCCACCCTATATCTTGAACATCCACAGTGCACAAACTCACATACGGGGGCCCCAGCTGGCGAATGTCCCATCTACAGCGTCATACACGAGTTCGGAAACAGATGCGATTGAATTGAAAACGGACGCCTCTGGCATACGGCGTTGTGTTCGTCATGTGTACACAGTCCTTGAGGACAGGTGGATAGCGACTGCAGCCAGAGCATCAGACCCGCCCGCACCTGCCAGGTACAACAACACTGCCTTGCATTCCACGGCATTTCTCGATGTCTCTCTGCTGGCGAACCGTTGTGCTAATCAAGCTAGGTGGTGGCACAGCGCCCGAGACACAGCGAGAGAGAGAGAGAGAGAGATACTCCTCTTTCTTTGAGCCCTACTGCCCATGATCCGGAGGTTGTCTGTCAGAATCCGAGGCAGGAAAAGCCGGCATGCAGGGTCAGGCTCTACACGTCCTTGCATTGTACAAGGGCGAAGCGCAGAACAATCTGATGGGAAGAATATTGCACATGCGCGCCGACGTCGAGGCCGAGTGCGCGTTGATGCCTTAGCAATCCCGGCTCTCTGTCTGGTTTGCCGTCGTTGGCCTGGAAGTTTCTGACTTTGACCTAGCCTGCTTGCCGTACCGCTTTCTCCTCCGCAGCGCCGCGCTTCCCACTCCCTCCTCTCACTGCCGTTGGTGTTGTTGCGCTGCCTGCTGCGTTCCACCAGTTCAGCACACCGCTCATGCGGATCGTCCCCTCGTAAGACGCTCTACCCACGGCCCCAGCGGGCTTGTTCGCATTCCGACCCACGCCCAATTCCGCCCACTCTCACACGGATCGTGTTCCATAGGCAGCTCCACCTGCAGCCTTAAGCAGTCCCAGGTGGGCACACCTCTTATGCGGATCGTGCTTCCACAGGGAGCTCCACCCATGACCCCAGTGGCTCCGTCAGTAAGCAGGCCTAAGGCCAAGCTGGCACACCACACACGCGAACCGTATACTTCGGCGTATCCTTCACGTCGTTAGCGCCTTCCTACCGAGCTTCACCTACAGCCCTACCAGGGTGCACGTGTCAATTTCGGCGCACGCCTCGCGTGGATTGTGCCTCCTGGGGCTTCGCTGTGTGCCAACGGCGAGTGACGGAGGGAGTGGAAGGGGGGGGCTATGGACCCCCCCTCCCTTTGCCCCTTGCGCTGGGAGGGGGGGGGGGGGCGGTACCAAATCCCCCCTTTTGCGCCCAAGCACACGTGAAAAGTGCTCTTTCAGACTACGAGGTGATTAGTGGAGTGTGTTCTTTTGGATCGCGCTGGTGTGGGATAGGTTTCAACGGTGGAATTACCGTCTCAGGTCCATTCTTGCCAACTGTGTCGTGACTACCTTGTGCAATCTGATTGGCAGCGGGCAGTGTTGAGTCAATCGGATGGGGTTCTGCTGGATCCCGTTGCTATTTCGTGCAGAATCCCGCAATTATTTTAGGTATGATCTGGGACGGGAGCGGTGTTGAAGAACCCATCTTCCCACCTCTCTGCATGTCGGATTTCCAGCGATTGCATTACAGCTCTGCTCCAAGGTGTTCCACCAACGTCTGCGTCAATTATATCACCATACAGGCAATTCACCTTGCTGCTGGTTCGGGTAATGTGCCAGCTCTGAAGCTGCTCCTGGATCACAACGCCGATGTGAACGTCCGCGCTACACGGAAAGTCAAAGATGGAGCTGACATGGTGCTGAAGCCCCACTACACTGAACTTCGCTTAGAGACGCACCGATGCAGAGTCCAGTCATCGATCGTGTCGTCTTCGTTGTCCATTCGCGATAGTGCAGTCCTCGGGGTCAACGAGCTTGTCATGTTGCCCACTTGGGGAATCGCGCATGGTATCCCCCTCGTAATGGTAACGCCAGGGACGATAGGAACGCTAGGAACGCAGTGCTTCTTCTGCTGCTCCTCCTACTGGTCCTCCTACTGCTCCGGTGTTCCTCCTGCTGCTCCAGTGTTCCTCCTTCTCCTCCTCTGGTGCTACTCCTCTGGTGCTGTTCCTGCTTGTCCTCCTGCTGCTGTTCCTGCTGCTCATCCTTCTGTTTACTCCTTGTGTTGCGCCTCTTGCTGCTCCTCCTGCTGCTCGACCTGCTGCTGCTGCTGATCCTCCTGCTGCTCCTCCTGTTGCTCGTCCCGCTGCTCCTGCTGCTTCTCCTCTCGTTGTTGTCCCTTCTGTTCCTCGGGCTGCGCTGCTCCTGCTGATGCTCCTTCTCCCTGGTCCTTCTTATCATTCTGTTTGCTTGTCCTGCTGGACCTATGGTTTGTCCGGCTGCTGTTGCTCCTGCTGCTCGTCCTCCCTGCTGTTGCTGCTGCTGCTGCTCGACCTTTTGGTGCTCCTCCGACTGCTCCTCCTGCTGCTGCTCTCCCTGCTGTTGGTCCTCATGATTCTCTTGCTCCTGTCGCTCCTGCTGCTCTTGCTGCTTTCCTCCTGCTCATCCTGCTGGTATGTTGCTCTTCCTCCTCCTCCTGCTTCTTCAGCTGTTCCGCCTGGTGTTGTTGCTCCTGCTACTCCTCGTTCACTGCTACTCCTGCTGCTCCTCCTGCTGCTCTGGTGCTCCTCCTGCTGATCCTCCTGCTGTTCCTCCTGCCGCTCCTCTTGCTGCTCCTCCTGCTGGACCTCCTGCTTTCCTGGCGCTGCTCCTGCTGCTCCGGTGCTCTCCCGATTTCCCTCCGGTACTCGTGCGGTGGTCCTCCTGCTGCTCCGGTGCCCCTCCGCCTCGTCCTTGCTTCCCTTGTTGCTCTTCCTGCTCCAGTGCCCCCCTTTTCCTTTGTTGCTCCAGTGCTCCTTTGTTGCTCCTGCTGCTTCCTTGCTTCTTCCTCTGTTCCTGCTGTTCCTTGCTCCTTTTGCTGTTTGCCCCTCTGCCTTCTCGTTTTGCTCCAGTGCCCCCCCCCACAGGTCGCCAGCGCTACCATTAAACCCCCCTTGCCCCCCCTCGGGTAACATGTGTGATTCCCAGGGAGCGAGATCTTTCGAATGCGAATTGCTGTCAGGTCATTGATTGATCGATCGCGTGATGTGCTCGATGCTGCTGTTGCCGCATTTGGTTGCCCGCAGTACATCCCAAGGCTTTGAATGACGCAGTGTATCATGATCAAGTTGATGCCGTGCGGATATTATTGGATTATGGGGCAGATGCGAACATACCAAATTATCTCGACCAAGCGCCACTTCATCTTGCTGTGGAGCAGGGGTTCGTCGACATTGCAAAGGCGCTGTTGAAGGGGGGAGCGCTCTTGGATGTTGGGCCTTCGTCTGCCAGGATCTGGGTTCAAGGGGATCGTAGCGGCGAAGAGGTGTTCTGGAACCTACGGGGAGCTTCCCAAAGCCTCGCAGGAGCCCCCGTAGTAGCTCCGGGGAGCAGCTCCTGGGATGGTTCGCAGAAGCCCAGTAAGCTTTGAGAGCACGCCCTGCCGCGGCGGCACGGCAACACAAAAGGTACCTGTCCCGCAGCGCCCTACGCCAGACACCAGAAAGGACCTACATCCGTACATACTTCCGGGGTGGACAGAACCCCCACCCTGACACGTTGATTAGTGAATTGTCCGTTTTCGGTTCTCGATAGGGCGCCGCGGCCGTCACTTTCCAGGCTTGCGCTCGCTAGATTTGGGCCCGAGGTCGTCTTCAGTAAACCAAGTTTTTCTAAAGGGGGTTCTGTCCATCCCCGAATACTCTCCGTTGTTTTCCTTCCTCATATGCTTGCCATGGGGTCTTGTTTCGTGAGCACGTCTCTCGATCAGTTCTGCATGTTGTCATCTTTCGGCGTCATTTTGGATCGATCCAGAGCTCCTTGGCCAGATCCCACAGTCTCCCCCCTTGCGTGCGGGAGCCACCTGCGCTCTCGAGGCCACACAGGGGAGCCCCAGCGGGGGAAAGATCACAAGACCACAACGATCATACCCGCATGCAGGGAAGCATCCTGATCCGTGTTGCTCTGGTGTGTGATACTTTCGTTGCCCCCCCCGATCTTGGCCCATGCCCCTCCTGTCGTGCCGTGCCGCTGGCAGGAGGAGTCCGCACTGGCAGCGCCACGTGAACGATGTGGCCACGAAGCTGACACCGCTGCGCCTGGCATGCGAGTGTGGGCGCTTCCCCCACCACAGCCTCTTCCTGCTGTCCAATCGGTGCCACGGGGGCGAAACGTCGGAACGTTCCTCGAGAGGGTTGTGTAGGAATGTCGTTCGCCCCTTTAATGCCCGCTGGTGGCTTTGGAACGCTGGCAGGCCGAGATCGGGTATCAGAGCTCCAGGAAGCGGAATCCAATGCCCATACTTGTCACAAAGCGATTTTATCGAAGGCCCATGCGTTCGCATCACGGACCAGAAACCTCGGAACTTGGCGCGAACGCACCGGGGAACGGCACCCAGTCTGGGTTGATTCTGGAGGCGACGCAGTCGAAGCTCATGGGGAGGTCTGCTGGCTGGCCGTGGATGCCCAAGCGAGGCACTCGTCTCCTGCACCATCACTTGCCCGTTCGCAGCTCGTGGGCGTAAAAAGACATCGGTACAGTCGGGGCCCTGAAGAAGGAACCCTTTTCGTTGGGGAGGGGCTCCGTGTTCCTTGAGTGTTTCACAGCTTGCCTTGGGTTTTCCTTGGATTTTCGAAGGGAAATCGAAGTTCAATTTCTGGAGAAAAGGGGCCTCGTTCCTTATTTAGGGTTCCTTAGGTCAACGCCCCGACTGTATCCGCGGCCCCGCGGGCAGGCCCCCCGGGCCGCGACCTCGTGGGTGCGGGGCGTTGGTGCTCGCAGACACCTCGCGCGGAGCGTACCTGTGCGACCGCGTATCCAGAGGAGTGCGCACCGGAATCCAGGCCGCGAGGGCGCGGATACCCGGAGGTGGATAGATCAGGAGGAAAAGAAACACACAGACACAATTAACCGTCGATTCCCAGAAAATATGGGAGAATATGGGAAGTGGGGGGAAGACAAAAATCCAACAAATATGTGAAAATATGTGGAATCTGGTTATTTGCGTGTATTTATTTGTGTGTCCCAGTTCCCCTTCAATAGACCTCCTACCCTGACACGTCGATTAAGGAATCTGCCTTTCTCGGTTCGCGAGAGGGCGTCGCGGCCGCCATTTTTCCGCGTCCAGGTCCGTCGGTTTCGGTCCCAGGCAGTTTCCACTAAGGCGAGGTTTACGAAAGGGAGGCTTGTCCACCGCCGAGGTACGGATATGTTCGCCTCTCGTGAGCAACCCCGCTTCTTCTCCTCCCCCCCCCTCCCCTCCCTGCTCTGTGCGCTCCTGCTTGGAGCATCCCCCTCTCGCGTACGGGTGGAATGGGGGGTATTGCCCCAGGGAGCTGGCTGAGGTCCGCGTCTTGGCAGCCGACTTGTGAGTTCCTGCTGGGGTGGTCTCTCTGAGTTCGCTGCGTGGCTGATGCGTCGTGGGGGCCCGCGGGGTTCCCTCCTCCCCTCCCTGGTCGCACAGGGTCTGGGGTCAGGCTTGGGCATCCTGGGGTCGCCTATCGCCCGGCAGTCATACTAAGCCAACTAGCCTGCTCCCCCCTCCTCTCCACGACCTCCCTCCCCTCTGCTCTCCTCGCTCCCCTCTCTCTTCTCGAGGCCAGGAGGGCGGGGGGAACCTTTCCTCGGGGCTCGCCAGGAGCTTGGGCGACCTGATAGAGGTCGCCGGCCACAACCCGGAGGCAGCGCTGGACATGATACATGACCGTGGCGCGTCGCGCTAGTGCGAAGACAAAATCGGCCACGCGCAGGGGTGGGGGTAGGGGGAGCGGGGGAGGCTTCTTGGAAGCAGCCTGGTTTCTCAGCAGGCGCGGCCTTTCTGTGCAGATGTAAGGCCAGCGCCTTCTAAGAAGCAGCCTCGTTCTGAGAAGCCGTCCCTCTTCCCCCCTGCCCCCCCTCTGCGCGCCGCCACCTTATGCACAGACAAAACAGGGCGTCGGGTCTGGATTACATTGGGGTTGCTCTGAGCCGCGGCTGCTCCCTAGGCCTGACCGTCCAAAGGTTCCACTAGGCGAAGGCTCGCCCAGATACCATGAAATCCACAAAGCAGGAAACGACAATTCAACACAACAAATGATGTGTCCTGGAGTGTCCACACATGAGCAAACAATCTACATCAGATATTACGAGTCTGCCGTGCATGATTTCCCGCTCCCCGTGGAAGCAAACATCGACACTTAAACAGTAAGTCGAGAGTTCCCGCAGATTCCGAATCCATCAGTTGGAAACCGAACCAATAGTTCATGAGTTACCTGTCTCCAATTTCCTGCAACAATTGCCGAACGACAAATTCAACCTTGCCAATCACCCCAACAATGCATGAACACCCTCTCGGGCATCCAAGTATCCACGATCATTAACATCGTGCACGGTGGTGATCTGATTAGTAGTGGGAGGCTGAGTTGTTGGATGTTTCCAGTTGTTGAATGGGAGTTATTGGCGATGTTTCTGCTAAGAAGCTGGAGCAGTTTCCTGGGCCGTTTGGAAGTTGTCTTGGGCTTCTTAGAGGCACTGGTGGCTGCCAGGTAGTAGTCGGGGCGCCAAAGACACGCCCAGCCGCTGGCACTGGCGGCTGCGCGGGCGGTAGCGGCGGCCAGGGTGGCTGCTGCGGTACTGCAACCTCTTCGGCGACGGAGTATGTCGCCGCGGCCGCCAGCGGCGCAAGATAATTGTCAGGGTCGTCTGGGCACAAGCTTGCCCATACGGCCCGCGACGAGGGCCAGCACGGCCTAGAGGAGGCGCT